CTCACCTGGCACAGGTACGGTCTCTCCTCAGCGTGTCTGAGCCTCACCTGGCACAGGTACGGTCTCTCCTCAGTGTGGAGCCGGCGGTGAATCAACAGCGCCTCCTGGCTGTGGCACACCTGGCCACAATCGGCACAGGCGTGGCGCCACGGCCCCCGGGGGTGGAGTCGCCGGCGATGTGTTGCCATGGCAGCTGGACGGTCGAAACCTTCGCCACACAGTGGGCACAAGAAGGGCAGGCGAGGAGAGGGGTCAGTGGAGGCGGGCAAAAGCTGAGAGTCTGAGAGGGGAAGAGAGACAGAGGGGAAGGCAGACAGGGAGAGAGATTACATATTGGATATAAAAATTAACTTCACACAAAAAATATAAATTATTACAATGGATGTACAGTATGTGGTGGTAAAGCGTTAGTACTGGCAGCAGACACACTGACCAGCCCTCCAAGACCAGGACTGGACAGCCCTGCAGACACACTGACCAGTCTCTCCAGGACCAGGACTGGACAACCCTGCAGACACACTGACCAGTCTCTCCAGGACCAGGACTGGACAGCCCTGCAGACACACTGACCGGCCCTCCAGGACCAGGACTGGACAGCCCTGCAGACACACTGACTGACCCTCCAGGACCAGGACTGGACAGCCCTGCAGACACACTGACTGACCCTCCAGGATCAGGACTGGACACACTGACCAGTCTCTCCAGGACCAACACTGGACAGTCCTGCAGACACACTGACTGACCCTCCAGGACTAGGACTAGAAACGTGTTGGTGTATCTGTCTCCATCTCTGTCTCCATGTGTCCCCTCCTCCACCCACCCATCTGACCTGGACCAATGAGCAGCCAAATCACACTGCGCCTCTTCACCAGCAGACCCAAACTAACCAGCTGCACCCGTGTCCCTGGGGTGTCCGGGGTGCTCTTGGCAGGCGGGCTCCTCATCCAAAATCAGGGGGTCCTCCTCCTTCACCAGGAACACACGGACCCCCTCCGCGCCCCCCTCTTCCTCGGGGCTCTCCTCCTGCTGCTGGCTGCCAGGCGGGGTGTCGCCGCCGGGCTGCAGTTCGGAGGGGGGCACCTCCTCCACCTTGATCACCCGCCCCCCCAGGGCTTCGATCAGGCTCACTTCTCCGTCCGCGGGGCCCACCTGCACCCCAAAATCCAGGAGAGACGCCACCTGCGGCGGAGGGGTACAGATCAGGAGAGAATCCCTGCCAGTGGTTGTGACCGTTATCCGTACCCCCACGATCCTCTCGGAAACGCCGGTACCCCCGCTGCCCCGAAACTCACCTGTCTCCCCGACTGTCGCCCCGCGCTCGCCCGCTCCTCCTCTTCCTCTCCCTCGCTCCCGGGAGGAGGAGGAGGAAAGAAGCCCTCCAGCAGGACGGACGCCTGAGACCTCCGCCCTCCCTCCTCTTCCTCGCCCTCCTCGACCTTCACCACCTCCACGCTGGTGGTCACGGAGCCCAGCTCGAAGACGATCTGCTCCTGGTCCTCGGACGACTCCCCCAGGGAAGCTCCCATCAAGGCTGCTGCTGCTAGCGCCCCCTGGTGGATGGCCAAGGAGAGCCCCCCGCCGGTGGCCACTGGCGACGCCCGGAAGACCTCCACCAGCTCCATGCCTTCCTCCTCCTTCAGCAGAGCCCCTTCCGGGGCGACCCGTGACCCCAGATGGAAGAGGAGCTGGCCAACCCCTCCCGGCCCCTGTCCGCTTCGTGCCTCGCCCTCCTCCTGCTCCTCTCCTCCTCCGTGTCTGTCTCGTATTCCCTCCTCCTCCTCCTGGGGGGCGGTCTGTCCCGGCCTCCCCATCCGCCCTCCTCCTCCTCCTC